CTCCTATTTTTGTGTCACCTGCATCTTCTCTATCACCCAAGACCCCAAATTTCATTTCCAAATAAGAACAAGATGATTTACTAAATAAAGGAAGAGGTAGGATTTCAACTAGGATATGAGAGAAAGATGAATTCATATTGTTTCTTTTCCTGACAAAAGAATCACCTATTTGACAAAGGCAAAGTCAAGTGAAAACATGGCTTGTGTGAAGACCAGTTAGAAGTTGGGTCATTCGGTGTCCCTCATAACCACTATATCTGTCAGTTATCTGATGCTGCTATAACGGAAATACCACAAGTGGATGCCTTTAACAACCAGAAATTAAGAATAACGATGAATCTATGAAACATCTCATAGTTTAGATGAACCTGGAGGACATTATGCTGAGTGAAATTAGTCATTCACAAAAGGACAAATACTGTATGAGACCATTATTGTAAAAGCTTAAGAAAAGATTTCCATATTAAAAGAAACATTCTTTGATGTCTTCCATGGGTGGCAGGGAGGGGAAAGTAATTCACTGGCTAAACATGGTAGACACATGTTAGCTCAGGTAACAGGGAGGGCAATATACAAGAAGGGAGAGGGCAATATACAAGAACAGGGACAGTACCAGAAGAATAATACAGATAGGTGAAAACACAGGGAGGTGTGCATGGGCTAAAGGGGATATAGGTAAATAGTGATATATACACAACCTTGAAATAACAGTGTTCTGTGTGTAGATACATGAACTGAAACATAGCCTAAAGGAGAAAAAGAGGGATATATATACTTTTATGCCCCATACATATGAGTTTGAAAGAGCATATTTATAATGAGTATTTACCTTTCCTGCAAACACAACTATGAATGCGGTGGAACACAGGGTGGGCAAATGATAAAAACTTCCTGGATAATATCAAACATCCTAAGGAAATGAGCGTCGGAGCTCAGGAGCATAGTCTCAGGGGACACCATGGTCAAATGACATAATGTAGTTAACAAAGACAATGTTTTATATCCTACTTGGGTGAGTAGTGACTGGAATCTTGAAAGCTCATGAATGACCATCTAAGGTACAGCTATTGGTCTCTCCATGCGCAGAAGAAAGAAGAGTGGTAAGAAATGAAGAGGCTTGGAATCAATTAGTCCAATAGTCTAA